ACCCACCTTAGCCTGTCCGCGCCTCCCGCCAGGAGTCATGGCCCCGCTCCCGACTGCAGCTTCGGGGAGTGGGGCGCGGACAGGGTTAAGGGGGGGCACGACATGAAAAGTGTGGGGACTACTGTCCTAGAGCAAGTGAGGTAGAAAATGGGGGGTGTGGGGGTAGAGAGGGACTGTGGTGTTACTTAGTGGATGGGGAGCTAACAGTGATCGCTATTTCCACATGGAGACTACAGGAGGTGTAGCATGTGCTCCTCCTTTAGCAGAATAAGGGATACCTCTGGTCTGTGACTGGGGATCCCAGCCACCCTGTTTGCCCCATGGAGTCTGGCTGGGTATTCCCATGAAGGAAGGTCACAAGCTGATGCTGTCTGGCTCTGTTTTTCCCTTGTGTCCTTGGCAGGGTTTCATGAGAAGGATGGCAAAGCCTATTGCCGCAAGGATTACTTCGACATGTTCGCTCCGAAGTGTGGGGGCTGCGCCCGGGCCATCCTGGAAAATTACATCTCTGCCTTGAATACCCTATGGCACCCTGAGTGCTTTGTCTGTCGGGTAAGAGAGCCTGTGCTGCCCACTGGCACCTGACCCCTCTCCCAAGTCCCCTAGGTGGTTCCCTCAATCAGAACAACGGGTCTGTGCCAGCACAGGACAGCCAGCCCAAGAAAATACATAGTGTGATAGTGACCACGCACCCTCTTGCTTCTCTGCCTGTTTCCATTCAATTTTCTAGGGGCTTAATTCCCTCCCCCTGCCCCATAGCCACAGTTATGGGCTTCTGCAGCAGTTCACTGATAAGCACAGAATTTTTCCAGTGGTTTCTTAGTAATAGTGAGCTAAGCTTTCTAAGCACTCCGCCTCAGCACCCTGTGAATAGAAATTCTGGCAGTCTCTTGTGAGCAGCTGACCAGCTTCGTCCTTGCCTGGACCTGGGTTCAGGCTCTTCTGCTCAGGCGATGTTGCTGGGCATTCTTCACGCTGCTGCCTGTTAGTGGGGGCAGCAACTTTCGGGCAGATTCTGTCTTTCTGTTGTTAGTCAGGCCAATTCCCAGTGTTTGTTTTCGAATGGAGGTGGATGGCTTAGTAGTCTCAGCGTCAGGCTCCCAGGAGCCTGCTGCCTTTCAATGCTGCAGGCAACTGGAGTTCCTTGCAATTCACTGTGTGAGAACACTGGATATGCACTTACTGTGGCTGCACCCTGCTGGATGCCTGCACGCAGGGCTCAGTTTGCATCTGCCTGTGACTAAGTAGATGTCCAACCATGCGTGCACTTGCGGTAGTGTGTGTGTCCCTAGGGAGGAAGGATGGGCTGGACGTTCAAGTACAAAACTAGGACTCAGGACATCTGGCTTCTGTTCTTGACTTTGCTGCTGACCCATGTGACCCTGGGCAAGTCCCTTAATGGCTCTATACCTCAGTTTCCCCACCTGTAAAATGTGGGGGAGTTCCTCCTAACTTCCCATGACTGTAGTGAAGGTACAGCCATTAATACCTGCGTGGGGCTTAGACAGTGATAACCATTATAGAGAGATGGGTGCCTCTTAAAAAACTGGTCTCTAACAGCTTCTCTTCCTAGACATTAAAGATCCAGTATCGCTTTTGTAAGGGTATGGACTTGTCCCCCAGGGTCCTTGCCCAAAATTTCTTCCCCTCCACATTTCTCCAGTGGCTGTCACCTTCTGCCTGCCACTGTATTTCAGTGGTGAAGTGACTCTTGTATGTGTATAGTCTGGGATGAGTCAAGAAGGAGGATGCTGTCCCAGGGAATATGCATAATATCTGGCATTCTAAATGGGTAATTTAAAAAAAACCCTACTGGCCGTCACCTTCTTTTTCACTGATATGAGCGTAAGCAGGACAGATACAGCTAAAGAAATGAAAACCAGCCCATTGTGACAAGGTAAAAGGTGCTCGTGATGCCCTGGAACATAAGGAATTCTTCCCTGCCTATCACCTGGGTGAGCTGGGGTGGATGGTCTATAAAAGCTGTTATGGTGGCAGCTGTCTCTGTGGATGGGGGTGTTCTCTTCCCTCCCAGCTTACTGGAAGCAGGAGAGGCTCTGGTGTTGCTTATCAAGTGTTCTCAGTAGTTTTGCTCTTGGGTTTGGATTTTCTTTGTGTTAATAAAGCCAGCCTGGAGTAAAGGGACATGAAGTATAGTTGAGGGCTTTATTTTCCCTCCCAGTTGCTGCATCTGCCTGCTTATGCTCAGTAACCCTGTGTCTGCTGGGCACCCATCATCTTTGCAGCAGTACTTCTGCAGCCCCTTTCTGCTGGATGAAGATGATTGACCCTGCCCACTTCCTGCAGGAGGCAGCTAGGGGCATGGC